AAACCCTGATGCAACTTTTTTCCAGGCCTACTCCAACGAATGTAGTGGCTTTTCCCTGTAATTAGCCTATTTTTATCGTATAGAGGACATGACTCATAACTCATCAGGTTTGTATTATGCTGTTTGCTTACGGCCAAGTTTGTGGCCCACCATTAATAAGTATTTGAAATGATATTACCAGTGTCTATGTTAGTATCACTCTGCTAATGCCCATGGAGTCATAGTGGGAAAAAACCTTACACTGAAGGGGAACATTTGGGTTCAGATGAATCTTGAATCCACTTGCAGCCTAGCTGTAGGACCTTAGCATTCAGAGGACCGGAAGATTAAAACGGCATTACAACTTGGATACCAGCCAGGGGAGCCTGGAGATTCTGGGTGAAGTGAGGGCAACATTTGACACAGCCGCAGGATCCCGAAGGATACGCTGATTTAGGGTGGGTAGAAAGCTTTGTCTCCTGACACGCTGGGGTACTGATACAGTCAGCGTCCTGCATCATTGATAGCTTCCTCCTCAGCTGCCCCTCGCCCTGCAGTAGGTGGCCGGACAAGGCTGCGCTCTCGCCTGCATCAGTCACGGGGGAGCCCGGGGTCCAATTAGTGTCTGGCAAAAGAGCTCCAGCTCTCTTCATTTCCTTGCTGGAGGCCAGAGCGGCTGCAATCAGACTTCGAGGAGACAAGTTTCCAAGAAAGCACAAAGAAGGGATTTATATGGAGGCTGCTGGCTCTGCTCCCCATGCTCTTTCTCCCTTGTTTCTCCATGCCACTCGGGAGCGTCTTCTGTGTGTATCCAACCGCCACCCAATTACTGTTTGGAGTAGAGCAGGCTGCAGGCCTGACCCCGGGTAGCACCAGGCATCTCCACAGAGGCCATTACCCAGTCACTGTGGGGAAGCGGCTTCTTTATGATGGGGGTGATCGTCAGTATTCTCCAAGTGCAGACTCAAGGGCCTCCCACATACTCAGTCTCTACAGCAAATATTTATCGGCTGCCTGCAGTATGAGCGGCACTGGGTCCGAGTTGGGGGAAGGGGGATGAAGACTATAGACAGACGTCTTTCCTCACCGTGAAGGGCCAGTAGCTGACACTTACTGAACAACTGGCCCGTTATTGACATTGTTCTAAGACAACGTAGGTGACAACTTTCTGTACCCGATAAGCCTCTCCGCTAATGCAGCAATCCAAATCAGAACAAACCAAACCAGATTAGAAAAGGCCCATGTTTAATGGATACAATGCTCCCTGATGGCCTTCCAGCCCCCCAGAGGAGAGAGAGAAAAGAGAGACCTAAAAACCATGCGTCTATTTTCTGGGGGAGCAGTTTAAATACCCTGTGGGAGTGGTCTTGAGCATCTCTGGGGGAGGGATCATCATTTGGCGGGCTTTCTGAGATACAGGAGAGTTTGGAGGGAGATGGGAGAGGGGAGTTTGGGTGGAACTTCCACCATAATATCCCAAACTCTTTGGGTATATGCATGCCAGGGGCTGAGGTGAAGCTTCCACCAGGACAGTAGGTATTGACACTGAAGAGGACAGGACTAGCAGAGCTATCCAAGAAAGGACAGAGAGGTTAGACAACCCCTGAGGTCCACACAGCACGTCTATTTTGTTTTCGTTTATTTATTTAATTTTGTTTTTTTGAGACAGGTTTTTCTGTGTTACCCATCCTGGAACTACCTCTGTAGACCAGACTGTCTTTGATATCATAAAGATCCACCTTCCTGAGCAATGGAATGAAAGGCGTATGCCACCACTACCTGGCATTATTTTGTTTTGCGTGATGTGCATGTTTGCACGTGTGTGGGCATCTGTGCATCAGTGTGTCAAGGCCAGTTGATGTTGGATGCCTTCTTCCATTGTCATCCACTCTGTTTACTGGTAGGGTTTCCCTCCGTGAGTCCAGAGCCCCATGATCCGGCTGATCTAGCTCACCAGCCTGTCCTAGGAGTGTTAGGTCTCTACCTCCTCAGCACTAGGAAGCACCCACCTGAACTCCAGTCCTCACGCTTGCGTGGCACTGAGCTATCTCTTGAGCTCCGGCGTGTGGTCTGGCATGTGTGTTTTACAAACGGCACTTGAGGCCAGGTGGGCTGTTCTCTTGGCTTGCACTGTCTGTCTTCTCTGTGTGCTTGCTGACCTAGATGTGGCAGGCACAAAGTCCCATCTTCAGGGGGATGAAGACGTAGCTTAGTTGGTAGGGTTTTGCCTAGCAAGCAGGCAGCTGCATCAGCTGGACATGATGGCACTTGCACGCAATCTGAGAACGTAGGGGGTGGTCAGGGGGTGGGGGACGGACAGAAGTTCAAGGACAGACAGAAGTTCAAGGTCATTGTCTGCTACGTAGTGAGTTTATGGTATTCTAGGCTGCTTGAGACCCTAGCTCCTCCAGAGAAGGAGGGGAAAGAGGAGGGGGAGGAGGATGGGAGGAGGAGGAGCCTGGTAGTACAGGAGGCTCCATGTGAACTTGGCTCACAGCTTGTCTGAAGCCTTTGGGTTACAAGCTGACTGAGACTCTATATGCTCGATATCACCACTCTGTCATTTTCCTTCCCTACCAACTGCTCCTTTCTCTCCTGTTTTCCACGTATGGGTGGCTGGCAGTGGCTTTTCTAGCCATTCTCCAGTTCGGGCAAGATGCCAGGAGATGCTGAGGCCCGACGCCTGAATGGCATTTCCTCCAGCTTTGTTGGACTCCCCCTGGCCCAAACTAATTGCTGCCACCTGAGTTTGGAAAGTCTTTGAAGTTTTGAATATTTTCTCTGGGGACAGCAGGCATGCCTTGACTCGGCGAGCAAGCAAGCCGGTGTCTGTGTGAACCCGACCTTATGGCAGCCTCTGCCTTGTCAGAACTGCTCCTCCATCCTGACACTCACTCTCTCCAAAGTGAGGCGTCTGCTGCTAGGGTCTCATCAGGTAGACACAGCTGTCGCCACCGACTCCTCTTCCATCTGGGTTTCAGGCCTCAGTTGCGAGGAGACTCCTTTGTCCATCATCTTCGTGGTCTCAGTCTTACGTATTTTAAGTCCTAAATTGCTGTGGTTCATTTCTGTAATGAGGGCTGCCCTGTGGCCTCTGGTATATTTAACAACATTCCTGTCCCCCAAGCCCCAGGTGCCTGCAGTACTTCTCTTGTTGTCATATCCAAATATGTATTTAGACATGTCTGTTGGCCCTGGTGGGCAGCACCTTCTGCTACTTAGAACTCCTGATCCAGTCACAAAAAGCATTTGTCGTCAGCTCTGTGTCATTCAGATGTACGGTAGCTTTCTATTTCCGTGGTTCTAGTCTAAAACAACCAGTGGAAAAATTCCAGAAATAAATAACTCATGAATTTTAAACCGTGCACTGACCCCAGTAATGCAGCAAGCTCTTGCAAGGCCAGGGAATATACTCTGTCCCTGCCCAGGGTACAAATCTTCCCTTTGTTGAGATTATCTGTGATGTATGCACAAGATACATTTATGAATCACTTAGTTCACTTAGGAGCTGTCTTTTTTTTTAAAGATTTATTTATTACATATACAATCTTCTGCCTACATGCCAGAAGAGGGCACCAGACAGATTGAATTGTAGATGGTTGTGAGCCACCATGTGGTTGCTGGGAATTGAACTCAGGACCTCTAGAAGAGCAGTCAGTGCTCCTAACCTCTGAGCCATCTCTTCAGCCCAAGGATCTGTCTTCCTGTGCAGAAATTCCCAGACCAAAGCAGCCGAGTGGAGAAAGGGTCTACTTTAGCTCAATTGAACTCAGGACCCCTAGAAGAGCCCTCTTAACCTCTGAGCCATCTCTCAAGCCCAAGGAGCTGTCTTCCTGTGCAGAAACTCCCAGACCAAAGCAGCCGAGTGGAGAACGGGTCTACTTTAGCTCACAGTTCATGATGGGGAAGCCAAGGCAGCAGGACCTTGTAGCAATTGGTCACATCACATCCACAGCGAAGACCAGAGAGAGATGGATACCATGCTGTTCAGCTCCTCTTCACAAATGCAGGATCCCAGCCTAGGGAATGCTGCCACCCAGAGTGGGCACACATCTCCACGTCAGTTAACACAAGGCAGCCCCCACAGACATGCTCAGAGGCCTGTCTCCCAGGTGATTCTAGATTCTGTCAAGTTGATGGAGGACACTAGCCATAGCAGTAGCTACATTCATGTCATCAGCTTGGATGCCATGGTATGGAAGTACCTGGGCCCAGACTACACTTATTTCCCGTAACCGATGCCTCAGAGGACAAGGTCAGTGATGGAGACCTACCAAAGGAAAGCTGTCAGGTGCTTTTCTTAGATGTCATCTCACATTGTACAGAAAGGTGAAGGAGAACACACTAAGATCTTTTTTTAAAGAAAAGATTTGTTTCTGTGGGTGTGTGTGTGTGCCCACAGAATCCTAAAGAGGATGTCGTATCTCCTGGATTTGGAGCTACAGGAGGTTGTAAGCCACCTCACAGGTTCTGGAACTGAACTCTGGTCCCCTGGAAGAGCAGCGGGTGCTCTTAACCACCCCAGCCTTTGCAATAAGACCTTGAGAGGCAGTGCACACTCGCAGAGCAGGTACTGCAGTGCCTTGCACACTTGTAGATCTTGAGAGGCCTGCACACCCGCAGAGCGTGTACTGCAGAGTGCCTTGCACACTTGCTGCAACTGTTCTCTTTCATGTAGCTACTGCTCTAGTTTCTGACTGTGCCTAAGTTACAAACTAACTCTGTTATGGAAATGTATGTGTCTGTAGAAAGGCACGGTATATGCAGATTTTAGTGCCATCTGTAGTTGCTGGCATCTGCTAGGAGTCCAGAAGTGTGTCCCGCCACTTACGCAGTGGGGACCTCGGGAGATCTTTTATCTCTTGAGTTTTGATGCCATCTTACTGCATAGTCCAGGCTTGCACTGAATTCACGGAGATCCGCTTGCTTCTGCCTCTAAAACCCTGGGATTAAAGGTGTAATCCACCTAGCCTGGTTTAAGAATGAACTGGACGACACAACCAAAAAGACATTTCACAGGATTTCAGTGATTTGGGTTTTAGACTTGCTGTGTCTGTATTGTAATCACACTGTATCGGCAGTAGCAATAACAAAACATTCAATTAAGAGATGGATAGGTAACCGGTAAAACAATAATCTTTGTTAAGGAGCCCTCCACCTTCCTCCACCATCGCCTCCTCCTCTTCTCTTTCTTCCTCTTTTCCCTCCCATCTATTTCCTCTGCCTTTTGTTCTTCTAAGACACGGCCTCATGTATCATGGGCTGTACTTGAACTTCCTGTATAGCTGAGGGTGTCTTGGACTGATCTGGCCTCTTCCTGCCAAGTGCTGGCATCACAGGTGTGTACTAGCATCCCTGGTTGATTGGGTGCTGAGTTCTATGCTGGGCTGGCCCTGTACCAGGCGAGTACAACCCCAGCCCTTGAGCTGTATCTCTCTTAATACTAAATTTGTGATGCAGAAAACTAGCTCTTTATATTTTGAAGATTCTTATTCAGTTGACTCTGCAAGATGTGTGGTTGTTTTCCCTACATAAAAGCCAACAATAGAAAAGGAAAATTGCATTCTTTGATTACTGTTGCAATTTTAGATAAAATATTCTCCCCAAATGCTGACGACTATTAGCAGACAGTGATGGGCTCAAACAGGCCAGGCTATCACCTGTTTGATGGCTGTCTGGTGTCTTCTCTTCCACGAATAACTTGGAGAAAGCCCCTTTTACTGTCAAGAAGGAATTCAGTCCCTGAAAAAGGAATTCAGAAAGAAAAGGACCAGTTTGTAGGGCTGGGGGGGTGCTTCATTTGCTAAAGTTCTTGCAGTAGGAGTTGAATCCAGATTCCCCAGCACCCATGGAAAAGCTAAGCCTGGTTGCCTGAATCTTTAATCCCAGGGCTGTGGATGCAAAGTCAACAGGCTCTCTGGGGCTTTGTGGTCAACCAGTCTCGTTCAATCAGCAAGCTCCAGGTTCAGTGAGAGACCCTGCTGAAGAAATAAGGTGGTAAGTGACTGAGGAAGACATCCAGTGTCAGCCTCTGGCCTCTACACATATAAGCAAACATACATGAACATGTATCCCCCAACATGTACACACACACACACACACACACACACACACACACACACACACACACACGCACGCACGCACGCACGCACACAAATACACCACACACACGCAGAAATAACCAGTGTCTAGAGGATTAATTATGAGAAACCCAGGATCAAAAAAACTTTCCTTGGACAAAAGGTTGACAACTTGAACTCAGGGACCAGGACTTTGTAGTGTGATAATTTTGTGTCTTTGCCACTGATGTGTCAAGGACATAAATTGTTTTGAGCTTGCAAGTCTTGGAAGAGTCATAAATGAGAAAGTACATTGCTATACACAGCTGAGGGATGGCCATTTAGGAGCTGGGAAGAATCCCTGATGATGATGACAGTATAATGACACTACCAATAATTAATGTGTCCACATATTTTAGTTGTACTCATCCTTAAAGAGCAAAACAAAATCACCTTGCAGATGCTTTCGCTTTCACATGCCTTTGAAACAAGAGTACATTTACTTAAAAAGAATTGCTTCTTTTAAAAGTTCCATTATTTACTTTCGTGTACATGTGTGGGGTCAGAGGACAGCATGTAGTGGGACCTCCTTTCACTGCGTGGGTTCTGGGCATCACACCCATGGTTATCAGGCTTGGCAGCAAGCTCCTTTGTCCAGTGGGCCATATTGCCCAGTCAAGAGTAGATTTTTTGACAGGTTTCTTCCCTGTAAGCTGCCCATGAGAACCCTCAGCTGTTCTCCGTGACCATGCAGACTTTCTTCTCTCGAGTCTTTGGCTTAAATCTTTACAGCCTGTTAGCGTTTTACCTTTCTGCCCTTTCCTGGCAGCATCTGTTCCTTGCGGGAGTTTATTTATTTATTTTTTCAAGCGGTGTTTTCTCAACCATGGAATTCATTTCTCTTCCTTTTGTTTGGAAGTGACATTCTAATTTTCTACACCGAGCCCTCACACCGAATGGCTTTTCCTCAGTGTTGCTCCAGTAACGTGGACGAGGGCCGTCTAAGCCGCACTGATACTTCCCCTCTGAAATCATCACAGCGGTTTGCTTTAGAAAAGGCATTGTAAAAGAAAACCTGTCTGATTCGGGACTTCAACATTTTGCCACAGCTGATAGGTGCTTCTAAATGTTGTTAGAACTTGTTTCTAATCACAGAAATATGTGTGTTTCAGTGTAGCTGCGGATTTATTCATGTTCAGGTTCCCTGGCTTTAGAACAAAACCCCATTGGTGTTTGAAAATACTGATACGACAAATGGCTACCATCAAGGATGGCCATTTCAACAGTATTAAAGGCTTTCTTTGTGGTCTTAGAAAGGGACACTTGATGGGGGCAACTTTTAAGGGGAAAGTGTGTTGTGCGGTCACTCGAAATTTCGCTTATGTCAGTGTCTGTGTGGTTGAGCGTTCCCATTCCATGCGTCTCAGTCTTCCCAAGGCTGTGTGCTTGCTTTCTCGGCACCCATTTTTGTAATTATGTTAAGTCCCACCTGCATCCTGAGACTCTTTGACATCCACAAGCATCGTTGATGAGAATCGGGGAATTTCGTGAGTTTGTGGGATGGTATTTCTTGATTCATTTATCCCCTTGTTTGTTAGTTTACTCAGCTACTCAGACATAAAGAAACAAGAGCTGGATGCTCCTGAGGCCGTAAGCACTTGACATGATTAAGAGATGGTGGTGTGTGATTCTATCCTGGGGCGGGGCATGATGCGACTGTAGTTAGATCTGTAACCACGACTCCCAACGTCAATCTGAAGTCAAGGTGTTTAGACCCAGGGCTGCTGTAGATGAGGTTGGGGCAGTTTCTAACAAGGTGACACTATGGATGACGGTGATGCTTTCAGGCAAGCGGTTCTCAACCTTCCCAGTGCTGTGACCCTTTAACAAGGTTCCTCATGTCGTGCCAACCCCCAAACATACAATTATTTTCATCGTTGCTTCATGACTGCAATTTTTCTACTGTTATGAATTGCAATGTACATATCTGACATGCAGGATGGTCTTAGGTGACCCCTGTGCAAGGGTTGTTAGATACCCAAAGGGGGCTTGGCCACAGGTTGAGAACCACTGCTTTAAAGCCTCAGTCACTTCCAGAATCACCCACTCTCACTCTGGGCACAGCTGTGTGAGACAAGCATCAACAAAGTTTACACAAGAAAGGGCCTGTGAAAGCATTTCAAACTTCTGCCCACAGGCAGGGGCAGCGACAGCCTCTCCCCGATCGTCCCTGTGGCTGTATGCAGGACACTGTGCATAAATCGAACCTGAGAGGTCTCTCAAAAATGGAGAGAGTAAGATAAGCTAGTTAATACACGTTGCTGAAGATACCAATCACCAATCACCCCAAAATGTCCACAGACACAGACAGAAAGGATGTACCAACAAGTGTGTACTGATAAGGGAACAAGAAGCCAAGCAAGACAAAAGAGGTAGGAACTGATCTGGTCCACAAAGCAGACTGTGACCTGTGATAGTGGAGAGAGGACCTGGTCTTCAATCTCCATGAGACCATGATGAATTTTTCCAGCATCCCGCTACGGGAGAACCTATGAAGGTCATGTAGGGACCTGGGGCTGTCATTCCCCCCAGTCAGGGGTGAGCCTTCCCTACTCTTGTGTTCTTAGACACAACATGGGGAGTCTGGATTTCTGCCCCACCCCAAACCAGAGAGGTGCTCTTCTACTGGGGTGTATCAGAGAAGACACAGGGGAGTCGGGATCACCCGCAAATGATGACTGCTCCCCGCAGTGAGGAGCTGGTGGATTGAAGACTGCAGGGTCAGACAGAACTCCCCAGCAATCCTGATGGCTTCCTTAAACATCACTGATCAGAGAGAAAAATCTGGATTTCTACATCAGCTGTGAAGGGCACACTTTTTATATATCAGTCCTGAGGAGACACACTTTCTATCCATCAGTCATGAGTAGGCATGCTTTTCAGCTCGTTCCTCTTTGCAGCAATATTAGAGAGATCCGGCTGAAACCAGTCTACTTAAGATCCAGAATCCCATACTGATGTCTCAGTACAAAATTTAGTCTTCTTGTAAAGAAGACCTTCACATAAACCAACTGTGGTTGTGCATACCTGTAGCTCTAGCACTTCAGAGGAGGAGGCCCAGGGATCAGAAGGTCAAAGTAGTGCTTACACTACATAGTGAGTTTGAGGCCAGCCTGAACTACCTGAGATCCTGTTTCAGAAACCCAAAAGGATATCAACATTGAGATGACAGAGATGGGAGGTGGTGGTGCATGCCTTTAATCCCAGCCTCTGGGGAGGCAGAGGTCACTGGATCTCTGTGAGTTCAAGGCTAGCCTGGTCCACAGAACAAGTTCCAGGACAGGCTCCGAAGAGAGACAGAGAAACCCTGCCTCAAAAAACAGACAAAAACAAAAAAAAAAACAACCATAATGAGAGAGAGAGAGAGAGAGAGAGACAGACAGACAGACAGACAGACAGACAGATAGACAGACAGACAGAGAGGGGAGATGAGAGAGACAGAGAGAATACCCAGCAAAGACATTAAAAGAACAATAATAAAGACGCCCCAGTGAGCAATTACAATCATACCTGAAAACACATGGGAAAACAATCAATAATCTCAATAAGGAAGTGCAAAGTTCTCTCAGATAATTGAGACATAAAGAGGAACCAAATAAGAGTTTAGACTGGAAAAAAACAAGTGACTGGAATGGAAAGGCTAATGGGTGGCCTCAAAAGCAGAGTGGTATGGATGGGAGAAAGGCAGAAAAATAGACATTACAGAGCAGTCGAAACAGAGAAAACAAGATTTTAAAACCCCCTGTGCTCAGGGCTATAGAAATTCATAATATTAGACTATCAAGGAGAGGAAGGGGCTGGAAAGGGCACGCAAAGACACGGTGACTGTGAAGAAATTTACATTTCTCATACTAAAAGAGAAGGAGTCACCGGTGCAGAACTTCGTGTCTTGGAAAAATAACCTCCAGGGACAGAGGGGAAGGTAAGATATTGGCAGACGGGGTGGATGGGAGTTTGCCGGCAGCAGATCTCCCTCAGAAGAATAATTAATGGAAGATTTCTAAACAGAAAAGAGACAGTTTAAGGAGGGACCTGGGCACATCAAAGGGGAAGACCCCAGCAAGCAAATAGATGGGTGGAGTTAACCGATTTTTCTTTTCTGAAGTTTTAAAACTTATCTTTGAACGTTGAAGCAGAAACCATAACATCTCTGATGTAGTTCTAAGTGTTTACACAGGAAATATTTAAGGCAATTATAAACAGTTGAAGTAAAATGACATTAAAGACCATGAAGTATATCCCAGACAGACCATGACTTTCATAAAAAAAAATCTGCGTGTGAATGCTGATAGAGGCTTTTTTCATAGCATCTGGGAACTGGAGAAAAGCCAGAGGTCCTCGGGTGACTAAATGGCAGCAAACTGTGACACACTGACACATGCAAAACCACCACAGGCGGTGAGACTGAGAAATAGCCAAACCCGAAGGACGCATGCTGTGCAGCTGTGCTTAGACAAGATTCACAAAGCGCCACAGTTGCAGAAAAGGGTATCGGATGAGTGATTGCTGTTCCGGCACAGAAACGTGGAGCGTAGAGGAGGGGACTGGGGTGATAAAGGGCAGCTGAGGCTCTTGTAGCGAGGGGAAACCCACATGGATGTCTGTCTCCTGGTTGTGATATTGTGTGAAGGGTTTGTTTATTGATTTTTGTTTATGTATGTAGGTGCCCTTGCGAGTTTATGTCCACCATACATATGCAGGTACACAAGGCCAGAAGAGGGCGTCAGAGACTACCGAATCTGAGCCTCTGGAACTGGTGTTACCGGTGGTAGTCATGAGCTGCCTGATGTGGGTGCTGGGAACCAAACTCAGTTCCTCTGGAAGAGGAGTGAACGTCCTCAACCCCTCTCTGGTGTAAGATTTGCAAGGTATTCCTTTTAACAGAAATCAGTGAGGCAATGTAGTATTCCTCCAGGGTGTTTTCTAAGTTTTATACAAAACCCACCATTTTTGTTCAATTAAAATGCTTACTTAGGCCTGGGGAGATGGGAACTTGCCATGAAATCATGGGAACCAGAGCTTGGATCCCCAAAGTCCAAGTACATGGCTGCTGCCTGTAATTCCACTGCTGACAAGGCAGAGACAGGCTATCCCTGGAGTTTTATTGGCATGTTCTGGGTTTGGCGAGAGACCCTGCCTTAAAGAATAAGATGGAGAGCAATCCATCCTATCCTGCCAGTAAATCCTGATGAGTACTTTTTGATAACAGCTCCATATTCTCAGCAATCCTCCTCCTCCTCCATCCACACTGATTGAAGTCACTTTATCCATCACTCTTCTTGCTGTCATGACAAAGTACCTTACAAAGAACATCTTAGGCAGGAGGGAATGTGTTTTGTGTCATTGTTTGAAGAGAGATTCAACAGTAGGAGCAGCTGGTGGCAGGAGAAGGACGAGGCTGCCTTCCACTTTGGCGGATCAGAAAGTAGAAAGAGACTGGCCTGGGAGTGGACCCCTGTCGTAGTACACAAAGTTCTCCCTGCTCCCCAGGAACCTACTCCCTCCGTCTAGGCCCCACCTTCTAAATGTTTCTCAACTTCCCAAAGGGGAGCTATGAGCTGGGGGTGTTAAAGGTTCAATTACAGGAGCCTGTGAGGGACATTTCACACCCAAACCCTAAGACTCACCCTTGGGCCGCATGTGATGCCTGCAATGGCCTCCTAACTACCCGTTCTACTTCTCCGTTTTAGCATGTTGGGTTATGTCACGCCCAGTCAAAACTTTCCCCTTCACTTTCTTTTTCACCACACGGAGAGACCAAGGCCTTTTGCACTAAGAGCCGCTGTGCGACCCATGCTCAGAACCTCTTCCATCTTTCGTCCTTACAGTCACTAGCTATGGCTTCACCTGGTACCACTGGCAAGACTCCACTCTGGCGTGTCCTCCCTTTTGATGCGTGCATGTCTGCCAGCTCCTTGTCCGGCTGTCAGCTTCCTCTAAGAGCTCTTTGACAGCTACCCCCAGGCTCTGTACCTTCGCACGTCACCGCCTTGGCTTATGCTTGCTTCCTCACGGCTCCTAACCCCAGAAGCGGCACGGTCTGTACAGTAGAAGACGAACAAATCCATGTACAAACATGATCACATAGATACATGGGTCATGTTAATGGATGTATTAGATGTTCTCTGTTTCATTTATATTTATATCCCTTGTGCCTAAGACAATGTCTGATATCTGACAGGACCTGATGAAGATTTGTTGACTAAATCAATGAACGACATCAGCTTGAATTTAGTGTTTGACTTCAGGTTTGAATTTGGTGCTTACTCAGCTGTTTGGATTCTCCAGTAGGTTTTTTTGTTTTGTTTTGTTTTGTTTTGTTTTTTGTTTTGTTTTTTGCTACGAGGCTCATTAAAAATAGAACTTAGATTAATCTGACTAATATACTTCTTTAAAAAAGATTTTTCATTTTATTGTTTGACAGTTTCACACACATGTAGATTTTTTTTAAATCTGTGTATGGCTGTTTTGGCTGCATGTGTGTCCGTGCAGTGTGTGTGTGTGTGTGTGTTACCCATTGTTGATAAAAAAGGACACAGATTATCTGGAACTGGAGTTAAAGATGGTTGATACAGCTGCCATGTGGCTGCAGGGAATCAAACCCGGGTCCTCTGGGAGAGCAGCCAGTGCTTTTGACCACTGAGCCATCTCTCCAGCCCCCATACACATGTCATGTTGTGATCAAATCAATCCCTATTTCTCCCCTCTGACTCATCCTGTGTTTCCCCCTTGCAATCCTCTTCATGTGCCTCTTTTCCCCCTCTGTATGTCTGGGAACAGAAGGGAAAGAATGAGGTGGAAAATGTGCATAACAATCTATTGCTTTATTCACACTGGTCTGCTGCGAACTTGCCACAGAATGGCTTCCTGCGGACATTAAGAGTGAGCTGAGCGGTCACAGGCATTTTCTATGGTCTCAGTACTGCAGGACAGTATCATTGTATGGATGGACTATGTTCTGTTTGTAGGGAGTGTAAGGACTCAGGCACTGTGCTGCCCTGCCCCTGTCACCTGGGAGAATGCACTCAGGCAGTGCCCTGGTCAGCCCAGGTGCAAAGGACCCCTTTAAAAGATAGACCCTGCCCACTTATGCTCTCCTCTCTTTCTTGCTGTTCCCCCTGGGCAGACAGGACTTTTCCTGTCTCCCTCTCCTCTCTGTCTCTGTCTCTGTCTCTTCACCTCTTTTCTCTTTCCTTCCTCCTCCCTCCCCTTTCTAATGAAATGTCTCACTTAAGCCTGGTCTGCTTGGCGTGTTTGTCCCTCCGCCTCAGTCACCCTCACCTGCCATGCAATCCTTCAAGGTTCCCCATGAGCTTTATCCTAGCAGGGAGGACATGGTTGAAGCAGTCACCTGCATTGTTTGGGCGTTGCTAATGGTTGCTTCAGAGAACTGCGTACCCACATGTTTGCATGCTTCTCTACCTAATTCCTAGGGGTGGGGGAGTTCTAGAAGTTTCACTTCATTCTGCTTCTGGAATGACTGTGTTAATTTACACACTGGCCTGTGGTGCCACTGCTAATTTATTGCCTATGAATGCTTTTTAAGTATTTCAAATTCTCTTCAAGCACACTTTGTTTTATGATTAACTATCCTATTATTTTGCTGGTATTTTTCTTTCCAGTGAATTTAAACTGTTTCTCAAAACCTACATTGCAGATTTCTCCAAATTAGCACTTTCCCCTAAAAACCCAAAAGGTACATTCAGACAAAAAGAAATCTTGCTGTTTCTTCATTAATTTTTCTCCTCCATAAAATACATTGTCTCAGTTAGAGTTTCTATTGCTGTGAAGAGACACCATGACCATGACAACTCTTATAAAGGAAAACATTAAATTAGGGTGGCTTACATTCTTAGAGGTTCAGTCCATTATCATCATGGCGGGACATAGCGATGTGAAGGCAGACAAGGTGCTGGAGAACTAGCTGAGAATCCTACGTCTTGGCTTGCAGGCAGCAGGAAGAGGACTGCCTCAGTGGGCGAGGCTTGTGCATATATGAGACCTCAAAGCCTGCCTCCGCAGTGACACACTTGCTACAACAAGACCAAACCTACTTCAATAAGGCCACACCTCCTAGTAGCGCCTCTCCGTCTGGGGCCATTTCCTTTCAAACCACCTCATACACCCTTCTGAACTAGCTCGTTATTCTGTAAAGCGGTGCTGTTAGCAGTCCGCAAGCTAAAGCTGGGGGAATGCTGAGGAGCCCCCTCTTGTAAGCTTCAGGTACCAACTTCTGAGGCTCCTCACCGACAAGTGGGGAGATTGAGGTGAGACAGCATACTCACGAGATCCAGCATTCTGCAGCCCTTCACAGGCCTGGAGACTCACCTGTGCTGCTGTCGGATTTGTTTCAGGCCAGTGCTATTCTTCTGTCACAGGAGAAGTGTGCAGTTACTGGCCAGCAGGGTGAAGAGGACCTGTTGCTTGGCTCACTCCTGTCTCCTGTTTCTCCTGGCTTACACTCTTCTCTCTTGATTTCCACATTGTATGGGCCAATGACCCCTTGGACGGATGTTGGGGAATCTTTGGACTTCAGCGTTTTATGTCTCAAAGGGACAGAGGCGCTGACTTAGGGAGGGCGGAGTCACCAGAGACAAGGACGCATTGTGATCAGCCCAGCTGATCAGTTGTGCCAGGCATCTGTCAGCTCCGACTCTAAGCTCGTTACCACCGTGACTAAAGAACCCAGTGAGGTTGGGAGTTAGAGAGGCAAGAGAAGGTACGGAAAGTGGGGAAGTTTCATGCGGTACTTCCCATCATTAGCAATTTGTGCCCGTGTAATGAGATTCCCGCCCAGTTCTGCAGCCACCTCAGAGCCTCCAAGTAAACACGCAGATGCTGTATTAGTTATAAGCTGTTGGACTTCTTATTCTTAACCCATAACTATGAATCTATGTATTTCCTCATAGAAAAGGTCCGGGCCTCTTACTCCATTGGGGTCTACATGGCATCTGTTCAGCATGATTTCCTGCATGTCCCTGCTTACATACTGATTCTGCCCTGCTATGTCACTTCCTGCCTAGGGCACATGGCGACTTCTCTTCACTACATTTCCCAGAATCCTCCTTGACTCCTAGTCCTACCTATCTTGCTTCCCTATTGGCTAACAGTGCATTCTTCATCAACCAGTAAGACAAACATATACATAGAACATTCCCCCATCATCTTCATAACCTTAAAAAAAGGTTTTGAAACTCCCCAAGATAAATTCATGGTGAGGGTCTTTATGCTGACCCAGAGACTCAAGTTACATATGATGAACACATCTTGTCTCTATGCCATACAGAAGCTTTGAATGCTTGGGATAAGGTTCATGAACCAGGAGAGAAAATAGAACCCTATACCAAAGTGGTACAGTGAATTCTTACAAAGATTGTCCAGAGCAGTAGAATTACAGGTAACAGATTCAGATTCTAGGTGAATACTCATAGAATCCCTAGCTTATGAGAATGCAAATCCACAATGCAAAAAGGTGCTTTGGCCCTTAAAGATCAGAGCAGCACCATTAGATGAATACAGCCAGCACTGAGTATAAAAGTATGACACAGGAGCTTGTGTAGGAGAAGCAATCCCCAAAGGTTTGAAAGGACACCAAGATACCAGATGTCTTAACTGTGGTGACACAGAACATCCCCCATCATGCCTGGACTTTTAGGCTTCTGCCAATGACATACACTGAAGGAGAGTGAGCTGGAGTATGAAGCTGTGTCAACACAAACACTTCTTACACACTTCAGAGTCCTGGATTAGTGTCCTTAGGACCTCAATTTCTGAAACAGCCTCTTAAAACTAAAGTTGACGCCAGTGAATTAAAATCAGAATCCAGCTACACACTGAAATAGATGAGCTAGGAAGCAGTCGTCCAAATGAAAGCACACTCTATCACAACTGGACGTCTCTTTAGAGCCCACAAGCAAGATGCTCACTTCTTACAGGGCGTTTGACCCTTGTGATTGTTTGTGCGTTGCTGAGGGGGTTTAACTTTCCTGGGGAAGTCCTGATATCCACATTACCAGTTTGTTTTCCATAGCACGGCGAACAAAGTTGACTTCCAGCTTGTTTCTGGTAGCTTCGGGACTCGGGAGATGCCAAAGCTCACTATTGCTGTATCTCTCCTCCTAACGCAGCGTGATGCTTCTCATGTCTCAGCTTTGCCAGAGGGGGAGTCATTGAGAGCGTGCAATCAGAAAGGCCAGCTTTCTGCAAGAGGCAGAGGAGGAAATCAGGGCCTGCTCGCTGTTGGCATTCATCTTCCGAATGGGGAAAGATACTTGGGGTTTGTTTTGGGGGGGGACTTTCAAAAGAGTGGGGAAGGACAGGAGAAAAGAGACTTGACCCAGCACTAGGTGGCTGGGGTTACATCTGCAAAGTTAGGATAATGCTTGGGGGAGAGAATAGGATGGGAATGTAGGAAGTAAGCCATAGAAGAATGGAAAACATCTGTGGCCCAGCCCCTCCCCCTACATGCAGTGTGGACTTTAGCCTTCTAGAACAAAAGAGTTATGAAAGACCCAACACTGCCCCAGGGTTAGCGAGTAATGCTCACACTCCACAGGAAGGGGCTGTCCTCAGTGGCGTCTACACTGATCATGGGACGGCTATTCTAACCTTCAGTATGGGCACTAGAAATTTGGTGGAAGGGATGTAAGAAGCCTCAGGCTAACATTTTAATGTAAGTTTAGTGAAGTAAGATTTTTGCCTTATGGCAGAGGTAAATGGTAAATGGGATTCTTACATGAGGCTTATCTGCCCCTCTGCATCCCCAAGCAAGAACTTGTCAGATAGCTTTTTATGGTCATCAAGGATGGCCCAGAGCTAAGACTTGAAAAGTTCTACCACAGAGAGATTAGTAAATGGTTTCTTACAACCCGAATGCGGCTCCCTGCTTAATCCTGTAAGTCGGGGCTGGAGCAAAGGCTCAGAAGTTGAGAGCACTTGCTGCTCTTCCAGAGGCCCTGAGTTTAGTTGCCAACACCCATGCTGTGCAGCTTACAAATGAGCTTCTCCAAATGAGGGCCTTCGAGGATTCTTGCAAAGGTTCATCTTCTCCACGTATGGAATCTTAGAGTGCCTGTTAATCTCCAGCAGTGTGCATGAGTCATTGTGGTGATTGCGGCGAAGGTGCCTAAGAGAATGTAACAGAATGGTTGATCTTGATCATGGTCCTGGAGGGATCCATCCAGGAACCCTTGGCTCTCTGTCTGTGGGTCTGTGGCCAGAACAGGGCATCACTGCAGTGGGAGTGTGTCGGGGGATGTTCACCTTACAGGAACCAGGAGGCAGAGAAAACAGGGATGCTCACACCATGGTGAACAAGAAGCAGAGTAGACTTCTAACAGGCTGAAGCCGAGGCAAGATACAACCTTGAGGGTCTCACCTCTTGCAGTTCAGACCAACCTATGAAGGTTTCCATCAGCAACCAATGATGGCATCAAACTGGGAATCCACAGGGCTTAACCCAAGCCCTGATGTGTCAGCCATTTCTCAGAAGTCCATTGACTAGTAACCAAGTGCCCAGTGTGCAAGCCTGTGAGGCACACTTCATATTTTGTCTGTAACATAGTGATTCGCTTTTTTTTTTCCCTTTGGAGAAGTTTGGCAATGTCTGCTGACGACTTTAGTTGTTGTTTGAGCCGAGGGAAGATGTCACCATGGCATTTAATAGATGGAGAACAGAGTTATTAGTTACTACCTTATACATAGCACAGACTGTCCCCTCATAAAAAATAAATAAAATGACTGATCTACACTCACGAGGCAGAGGCAGGAAGACTGTCCAGGAGTTTGAGGCCAACTAGAGACACATAGTGAGAACTCCTTGAACCCACAACTCAATATTAGATATCTCAATCCCAACACAAAATCTCTGACACCAAATTTTCTGCAATAATATATTTATTATTAACTACTAACTGTTTGTGGTCAGTGAAGCCTCTCAGGTACATGTCAAGTTCTCTGGACAGAGTGAGGGCAGCGGCTGAAAATGGAAATTCAGCTTTTTAATAGCCGCCACACATCACATTTCACCTTCAGTGTGTGTCTCTGGAACTCAAGATGACAGCTGACACGTTGTGTCAAACGCCAAAGAATGCCCTGTGTTGTAGTCTCCCCTCGTCTCAGAGTCTCATCGTGACTGGAGAATTCTCTCATTATAAAACTTGCTATTGCACTTGTTAATTTACCTTTTTCATGGGTGGGGGCGTAGGTGACATGAGGATGTCAGGGGAAATCTTGCAAGATTTACTGCTCTTCTTCTACCATGTGGGTCCCAGGGGTCAAACTCAGGTTGTTAGACTCGGCAGCAAGGGCCTTTATCCAAAGAGCCATCCTGCCATCACTGACCGTTAAAATTAAATATGTGGGGAGCACCCTGAAGAGAAAATTTATATGGCCCGATCACAGTAGGGCCTCTGATTTAGTACACTTTGTCTTATCTCTAGGACTCTGTGTTGCTAAGGGTTACCATGAGTGAGGCCAGGGCATACTTGGAGCCACTGACTGATAATGGGTGTGGAGTGAAGGAAGGTCAGGTATGCCCTAATCCTGTTGAAATTCTGTGCTGCTTGGTCACATATCAGGGACTTGCCCAGTGACATTTGTCATCCCAACCTGCTCTTTCTTATGCCACAGTCAGACTGCTCTCAGTTTCTGAATGACACACTATTTTAACCCATTTTACAGTTATCTTACAGCTTGTCTGCATTGAATGTATTTATTTTTTTATTTAAGATTTCATTTAAAAATTATGCATATGTATGTGCCTCTGTGCTCATGAGTGCAGTTCCCAAGGAGGCCAGAAGAGGGTGTTGAGTCCCCTGAAGAAGGAGTTATAGGCTGTTGTGAGCCACCCAATGTGGGCGCTGGGAAACGGAAGGAACTTAGGTCCTCTGTAAGAGCAGCAAGTGCTCTTACCACTGAGCTGTTTCTCCAGCCCCCGCGTGTGACTTGCAGAACATCATTTTTGCTGTTATGTTGCTATAACACTGCACTCTTGTCCTTAGTGTTTAATAAAACAAAGAGAGAGGCACAGAGTGAGAAACAGAAGTCCTCTGGCTTCACACAGCCGCGTCAAAGATGGCGCTCTTTGGAGGTGCTGCGCGGAAGAGGGCTGGCTCTTCTGCTTGCACGCGGAAGCCTTTGGAAAGAAGCCAGGCAAGTCTTGGTTTGACTGAACAAAAAAAAGTGAACAGATCTCCAAAGTTAAAAATGCTCTCATTAAAAACAAGGGGCTCTGAGAAGTGGAGGTATAATTAGGAAATTTAAAATATCCTTCTTGGGAGAGTGTCTTTTTCTTGCAGTTGGAGTATTTTTTATTTTTACATACCTCTAGAACCTTCACTTCTGAGTGCATTTCAGAGGCATGTGCAGAAACAGGAGGTTGCCAATAATAAGTAAGAAACCTTTTCCACACACTTGATTTGAACGAGCGAGTGACAGTCGTTGTCGCTGTAATTACAGTCCTTGGTGGCGGTACAACTTTAGGGAGACGATTGACTCGTCTGCTCTCCAGACCCAAATGGGAGGTTGATAGGCTCTTCTGCACAGACGCACTCAGAATGTTAA